AGTGTGGATAATGAATAATTACAATATCCATAATTTATTTTCTTTTAGAAATATATTTAATAGATAACTTATGCTATTTTGTCTTTCTTGTCTGCCTATTCCCCTGGTTAGACAAAAAAAAAAAATCATAAGTATAAAAATGGGCAAACCACAGCCCAGAGAAGTAAACAAAACTTCTCCAAGAAAATCAATAGCAAAAATAGGAATAGAACTTAAATGTCATATTTCACCTTTAAGTGAACATTATATAAAATGTCATCTCCTCCTCCAGAACAAAAACAAACCGATAAAAACTGCAAATAGACAGTAATATATCTAACGGTTATTGACTGACTTGTATCTGCCTGGTACTGTGGTACACAAGCTCATTTAATCCACACAAGACACTTATAATGTTCATATTTTAGTCTCCCTGTGCAGAAGAGGAAATGTAATTTATAACAGCTTAGACACCTGTCAAAATTCACACAGCTACTACCTGGCAAGATGGGATTTAATCTCAGGTCCCTCTAACATCAAGTCCAACCCGTAGGCCTCCCCACCATACAGCATCATATTATCCCATCTTGAGGTGCTGTGTAAGAATCTCAACAAGATAAAATAGTGGGGTGATTCAGGGACATTGCTTCTCGGTGACTTCTGCATAGAGACTAATCGTCCTCCATTTAAGCTCTAGGTGAGTGACTCCACCAGTCCTCCAACTGCCCCCAAACAGTAAAGGATTTCAACCTTGACTTCTCCCTCTTCATCAGCCTTCTTTCTCTACATGCAATCAATTACAAATTCTATCAATTTAGAATTTCCCATATCTTCACATGTCTCCTTTGCTGCCATCCTAACTCAGACCACTGTTGCTTCCCTCCTGTTTGGCGGCAAAAGTCTCCTAATTTCTCCCCCGATACTTCATTTCACTGCTTCCCAGCATTCTCCACAAGCAGCCAAAATGATTGATCTTTCTAAAATACATGTATATGTTTGTTTACATTGAAACATGCTTGTCTATGGTATATCATCTGTATTTTACATGATCTCAAAGTCCTTGAGATCTAGTCCCTATATTCTCTTAAATACATTGGAAACTCTAATCATGCTGAAATATATACAAAGCCACAAAAACACAGTGCTCTCATACCTGGATCTCTGCCCATACAATTTCCTGTGCGTGGGACACTCGACTTCTTCTTCACTCACCTATCCTTCAAATCCTTAGTTCAGATATTTCTTCTTCTAGGTAGACTTCATCGGTTATCCATAATTGAGTGAGCCAGCCACTCAGAGTTATTTGCAAGAATATACTATAACTATCAATTCACTATTTTCCACAATATGCTGGAAGCAATTTAAGGAACATCCAGGTCTCATTCTACTTCATAATCTTGTACCCACAGTACCAGGTAGATAGTAGGTGTCAAAGAATATTTGTGAAATGCAGGAAGATAGAAACAAATGGAGAAAGGAAGGGAGAAATAAAGCAATAAAGGAGAAAGGGGGAGAAAGAGAAAAAAAAAGTAGAGGAAGAGCATACATAAGGGACTTTAAGAAAAGGAGGAGGGGTGATGGAAGAAGAAGAAAAAGAGGGAAGGAGGAAAGGAAGAAGGGAGGAAGAAAAAAGGAAAGAAGGGAGAGTGAGTAGAAGAAAGAAAAGAAGAGCCTATGAAGTTACAGAAAAATGGAGAATATTCACTCTAAACTACCAGTGGAAATTTCTAGGGAGGCTCTAAATGCCATCAGACATTGGGTGACTGGCCATCTCTCTGGGATTGCAGACATGGTCATAACCAAGGAGTCCTGGTGTTAAAGAAAGTGAAGACTGAAAAGGCCCTTAAAATGACTGAGTTCAACTTCATCTTATGATTGAGCCAAAGAAAGGAGGCGTGGCTTGCTCAATCAGTAGAAAACAAATAAGATACAAGCACAGACTGGAATAATCTCAAAACCCAAGTTCTCTGCACCACAACTATCTTCCCAGAGACAAATGAGTCAATAAAGACAGGAGCAGTATGGTAGCTTAGGGTGGTTGGTCCTCGATTCGGGGCTATGCCTCTGTGTGCTATTTCTTTTTCCTGATGTTTTACTTATGCAAAGAACTTCACTCTTCAAGGCAGGTAGAAGTGAGGCGAAAGGACTCTGTGTGATATTCTGAGATTCTTTCTGCTTGTGCTCCCTGTTACTAATCTTAATCCTCTAATGAGCCCTGAGTTTCTGCTCATGCTTCACTTGTCATGTGTCTTCTTGTCTGGAAGGCCTCCGCTGCCATTTTCACCTTTTGAAATCCTTTGTATCTTTTGAAGCTTTGTGCAGATGCTTTTCCTCCCCAAGGCCTGCACCAGTGACAGGAAATAATCACTCCATCTTCTCTGCACCATTGGCATGTTGTTCATTTCTTTCTCCAATATGAATTGGCCTATGCCTTTCGGTATAGACTCATGTGCATATTTTTTCCTCACTAAATGTACACTCCTGTCAGGCTGACTCATTCTTGCTTTATCCTTATCTCCCCTAGTAGATATTAGCATAGTACCTTTTATATGGAATATATGTCATGGTTTTTTAATGTTGAATTGAGCTATGGAAACCATTTTCCAACTCTGAAGCCTATATCATCCTAACAGATTAACAACGCTAAGAATTCATAACACTCCTTTTTAAAAAATTTCTATGAGCATGCTTTTTTTTAAAGCACTTTTGTGGTGCCAACTTTTGTTCAACAGTTGTTTAAAGTGAGTTGTTAATATGGACTAATGGTAATACATATATATGAGGAAGGAAGCAAGACGAGCAGCATAATTGAGTCAGTGAGTGTCACAACCTTCAAATTTATGGATAATAGTATGATTTCATATGTTGGCCCATAGAAGGAGCAATTATTAAGAGAGATTCATGTCCCTTTAAAAAACTGGCAAATAAAGAGATTGTTGGAAGAGAAGGAGCCTCATCTGTTATAGATTCTTTCTTTAAATGTGGAGGTTTCTTGGGAATATTTATAGCAATATATTTCAAGTATTGGAAATGAGGAAGAAGCTAAGAAATACTCACTAGAGCTTTCCCAAGGTTAGCAAGGATTTACTCGAGGTGAATAACCTAGACTGCTCATTCCATTTATTTTAGCTAGAAGTGTTCTTGCCCAGAGCAGATGGCAAATTGGTTGGATGTAGTGAAATAAAAGCAAGAAGGCACTTTAAGTGCCAGGACTCCCAATCTCTCCCAGCAAGGCTTGACCCTTTCGAAACTCCCATTTCTTATCAAGTGAAGTTAGCAGTTCCATTAGCTTAAGCAGATGGATTTTCAAATTGTTTTAGAAAATATTTTAACAATTCTTTTAGATGAAATGTTGTATATTTTTAAAAACATAACTTTAAGTCTGCTCAAGTCCAATATAGTTCTCTGTTATTCACCTACTCCTGACAGTCCAGATTCTGGTAAGCTAATGGCCGCAGACTTTTTATCTGCATTTTCCCTGAGCATTGTTCAAAGGGCATTGTCTTCATTCACTGCTTATATGCATGACCAGATAAAATGCACCAGGTATAGTGGACATCCTTTACAGTAGTTCTATTAAATTTTTCAAAAATATAACTTTTAGCACTAAAGAAGTTTTTATAACTCCATTGGCTCTGAAATGCCATGTAGAAGTCCAAGAAAAATTAAAAGCAAGAAAAAAAAATAAAGGGCAGAAATAATACACAGCAAAATAGAAAGATCATTACCCTTCATTTCTAACTTCCATTTGAGAGTGGAATAAATAAAATTAGGGGGAAAAGATACCATTGCCCTCAGGTATCTTTCCTAAACTTCATAGAGGTGACATTATAGCATTTGTTAAATTGTTCCCTTCAGATGTACATACAAGAACATATTGGGTTGCTATATAGTCTTTATTGGAGGTCCTGATATGTTGTTTCTTTTTCTTACCTACACTTTTTGAAACCTTACTAATGAATAGTAGCTGATTTTGATATTTACTCAGTTCTATCTCTCTCACATTCCAATAGCCATAGGAAATGCTTTTAAACTCCAAAATTACTTCTTTCTGAGCTTCTCCAGTGAGAAAGATAAAATCTTCAAATGTCAACTACTCACTCATTCTTGCATAACAGTTGGTTCCAGAGAGCAACTCATTTTTAAGAGAGGGTTTCTTAAATCTATATCTACTCCCTGTACCTTGGGACACACTGGAAGATGTGCTTCCCACAGAATGTTTTCTCCTACTTGGAAACTCCTTAAAATAACATTTTTCTATAGCATACCGATTGAATAGATTTTATATGTCTTGAGTTTTATTACTCAATTTCTTAGACTGCCATTCTTTAAGAAAGTCTATCATGCTACTCTTAATGCTGTCATTAAGATTAGCAAATTTATGTTTAAGAAACTGTTGGGGGGGTAGTTAGGGGTGGAGGGATTGAGAAAAGACAAGAAAAATTCATGGACACCAACAACAGTGTGGGGATTGCCAAGGAGAGGAGGGTGGAGGGAGATAAAGAAAGGTATAGGGGGGATAAAAGGTAAAGGAAGGATACTTGACCGGGGGTGGTGAACATGCAATACAGTATACAGATGATGTATTGTAGAATTGTACACCTGAAAGCTGTATAATTTTGTTAACCAGTGTCACTCTAATAAATTCAATAAAAAGGAGAAAAAGAAAGAAAGGTGTCACTGGAATGTTATTTAAATTGGTATAGACAGCAATGGAAGAGGCGAATTTCTGGAGGGCTGAGTGACAGAGGTTATATTATTACCCTTTTATAAATTTATCCTTATAAAAAAGAAATTATTCAGTTACTTCATCTGCAAAATGGAATACAACAATACTTACATCATAGATTAGCTGCAAGGATTCAATGAGTTGAAATGTGAAGACTCAGTAAGTAGTAAATAAAGAGTTGATCAGTCTGTGTTGGCAATTATCATTAATCCCAGTGAACACAGTGACGCAGTGAGACTTTGAGAAAATGTGGAAGGGCTTGGGTGAGAAAAAGAAGTTGCTGACTTCTTACCTCCAGGGAATCATCGGCATTCACCATCCAACAGTCTGTCCAGGTGGCTACAACCAAGAACCCAGTAGAGAACAGGGCAAAGAAGCAGGCCACGTACTGAAGAAGATCCCTCATCTTAGCGAGCAGCCGGACTGGAAGGGATGCATGGGAAGCTGCCAGCCCTTGACTACTCAGGTAGCTGGAATGCTGTCAACCTCCCGTGCTCCCGGTACCTGGGGTGTAAAAATACTGGTCTTTTCCTCTTTCTCACACCCCACTGCAGGCGTCTTGAGTTGCAGTAAGAGTTAAAGAAACAGGCTGTAACCCACAGAGGGGTCCTGGAGGTCATTATCCGAAACAACCAGCTTCCAATCAGAAGCCAGGTCAGTGAAAGGGCCGGGTATGTTCTGTGTGCAGGAGAAAAGGAGCCCTGGTTATGTTTTCGGCCCAGACCGTGAGATGATGGTTGATGGTTACCAAGGTATTTTCAGCACCAAGATGGAGAGAAGGAAGAAGGGTCATACCCCATGCTGACGCCTGTAAACTGATCTTTCTCAGGCCCTCCAGGGAAAGTGAGCTATTCTCCTCCCCCTCCCTAAGGTGGCTACACGGTTGACTGAGTGCTATTTTATTATAGGACTATTTTAATATTCGCCGACTACCTTAGACAGACAGGCCACGGGTGAAACTATGCCAAACAAGTGCTTGCTCAAGGGAGTTTGCATTCCAAAGTATTGGACTGAACAGCCCCATGAAGGGTTTTCAGCATCTGGGCCCCAGGTAGAGCCACCGCTCCTAACCTTTCCTAACCTTTCGGCATCATAGAGTGAGAAGGGGAGTGCATTTTTATCCAGGCAGCTCTGGGTAGAAATCCTTGCTCTGAACCTTATAGGGTGAGGGCACTTAGGTTGCAGTTTCTATAAAATGGGAGTGTTAATACTTTCTTCGTAAGATGTTTGTGAAAATTAAATGACATTGTGACTCTAAATCATTTAGAATAGTATCTGACAAAATAGCTGAATAATAAATATTAATATGACCAAGAATTCTCTATATGATTACTTTTCTTCCAACAACACATCTGTTTATGTTAGGAAATTACATATACCGGCATATCAAAGTGTTTTTTTTTATATATATAGCAATGGCAACTGTAGTTTTATCTACAGCTGAATGGGTAGCCTTCTTGGGTATAAATATCCCATAACTAGTAGTCTTTTAGAAATTTTAAAAATACTTAAAAGAACATATGAACCATTATTTTATCATCATCAGATAGACTTCTCTATCGTAAAATACAAATTTCAGTGATAATAATAAAAACATTTTACATGCCTCTTAATGCAAGAAAGAATGAGAAAAGTGGGAGAGAGCTTGAAAAAGAAAGAGATACAGGAATAAGGATTAGAAATCAGTCATTACTCTGAAAAGAATTAGCTGCTAAGTTATTTCAGTACCAGTGAAAACAGAAATTACTTTTTTTCTATTTAATAAAGATTTGGTCATAGTGTAGGGTAAAAGGCTAAAATCAGTATTGATTTAATATCCTTCAATAATATTTTAAATAGTAAATTTGTGACTAAAATTTATAATTTTCTCATTTTAATTAATGTGTATTATAATATACAAAAGGTAAATACAAATGTGAAATTAATCTAAAAGCTGGATTTAAACCCATATTTGGAATATAAACCCAATTATTGCCATAAATAAGGTTGTACATGTTAAGAGTCGATATCATTATTAGTTTGCGAAGCACATTACAGATGCTTTTAATTTTGCTTATTTTATTTATTTTACTTAACAATTGGGAAAAATACTTATTTTTAAAAGTGCTCATTCAAATACTGTAAGTCAGCTACAATGCACACATACTGCTCTGGTGACTCACAAGTGAATCTCTTCCTGTGCCCTGAAATCTAAAATGCTCATGCTCTATTGATCTGGGAGAGGAAACTCATTCCAAAAGCACATGCCCATTACAGGAAAAGTCCTGGACTTAGATGCTAGCTTTCCACCCAGGGACCTTTCACAATGTACTTTTCCTGCTAACAGTGCACCCCGGGGCAATGGATCTTAAACTTGAGTGCACACTGGAATCTCCAAAGCCATTTGTATAAATGTACCTGGGAGCTCAACCCTTAGAGATTTGGACTTAGAAAATTGGGATGGAGGCCAGGAATTCACATTTATAGATGTCTTATATAAAATTCTGGTTCTGAAACAGGTGACCATGCTTTGAGAAGCTAAGAAGAAGTAAAGAAAAATCCCCATTAAAACCAGCATATTACTTTTCAGAGTCATATACTACAAATCACAGACAAAGCTGTGTGAGGGGAATATCAGAATTACATCTTTGGTAAAAAAAAAAAAAAAATGTCTTCCCTATACAGTATCAAAGCACATCATAGTCCCAGCCAGTTTTGCTCAGTGGATAGAGCGTCAGCCCACAGACTGAAGGGTCCTGGGTTTGATTCCAGTCAAGGGCATGTACATCGGTTGCAGGCTTGATCCCCGGGCCCTGGTCAGGGCAAGTGCAGGAGGCAACCAATCAATGTCTCTCTCACATTGATCTTTCTCTCTCTATCTCTTCCCCTCCCTTCCACTCTCTCTAAAAATTAATGGAAAAATATCCTCAGATGAGGATTAACAAAAAAATAAATAAAAATAGATAAATATATAAAAAGCACATCCCAAATCCAAATATCCGAACTTAGTGGAGAGGATTAAGGAAAGGAAAAGACATTGAGCATACACATGCATTATGCATGCAAACATACACATGTACACACTGACCATTGAAAATCAGAGATCTGTCACAAGGAAGATATAGACTGCAACTGATTTATGCCATTTCCAACTATGTACTGGGCATTGTATGTGGTTGAAGGTGGTGGTGGTGGGTAGTATATATGGGACTCTAGAACTGTTTCTGAGTCTGTAAGTTTACCAATTTTTAGAGAATAGCATAAAACAATCATGTTTAAATGTTAATTTCTGTGAGTGAGGCCATAATATGAAATGAGATCCAAGACAGGAGAGCCATGCAGACTAACAGAGCAGGAAGGACTTCATGGATGGGATAGGAGGGTACTTATAAGGAGAGATAAATGTTCAGGGAACTGTGAGAATGGAGGGGATGGATGCAGAATAAATCAATCACAAGTCTATACAAACAACTCTCTCTCACTGTTCTGCCCATTTTCTAGCTTCCACTATTTACCTTTATCAACTCAATCCTAGTTTTGTTTCATTCCATTCAGAGCATATGCTGACCTAGTACCATACTAGGTCCTGGGGGCACAGAGGAAATAGAATGTGGAGACCTGGTCCCTGTCCTTGAGAAGATGCAGTGAGGGGACCAGAGCCAGGCTCATGGTCTGAAGTGAAGAGCATCATTCAGGAACTCTGATTCAGTAGCACTCCCTATAAGAGTACACAGATATTAGATAGAAATAGGCAGGGTTTCCCAATGTAGAATAAACACAAAGGATAATGACCACCATGCCTACGGCTCAATCATGTTTACAAAGTATTGTCAGGTGTATTATCTCATCTAAGCTCCATGAAGACAGACAGCTTTGTTTTTTCACCAATGCACTTCAAGTGCTTAAAATTCTGCCCGGCACATAGTAGGCTCTCAACAAATACAGGTTGAATTGAATTTAGTCCTCACAGCCCCACATTTTACAGAAGAGGAAGGAATGTTGGACTTACTCTTTTTGAACCACCGAGGGTCCCCCAGGATAAATACGAGGTTGGCAGAAGTGGCTCAATCATCTCTGCAGTGCCAGAGCTCTTTGTTCTGCACAATCTCTATGTTGTGTTGGTCGGTTCATAGGAACCGCGTTCCCACTCACCCAGGATCTGCACTATTCCTGGTTGGAACTTTAGAGCCACCTGGTGATGAGGTGAGTGATGCCCTCAACCTGGCACCCTGGATGTTGGTCTATATAAGAAAGGAAGTTAATTATACAACTAGAAACACTGCAATTGTCCCTTTGTCCTGCAGATGGAAGCAACTCTGCATTTTCAATGGTGGAAAACAGCAAATTGCTTTGTATTAACTGTTCTTTCTGCTAGTGTCTCAAATTGTTCCTTCTCTATTCATTATAATAACGAGTCCTTAGAAGAAATATGCTGATCTATACCACATCTTATAACAATCTTTCCACTCCTTTTTAATTGCCCAGTGCCTGTTGGAAAAACCTAAGCAATATAATCAGTTGCTGTTGTCAAAGGTCATGCTGACTGTGACTAATAGCAAATAAATCAGTGCTTAAAAGCTTGGATCTCAGAGTTGGGCAGACTCAAGTTCAGCTAAGATATTAATATATGTGAGCTCTTGGCATGCTACTTGTCTTGTTCAATTAAATGAGAATTACAGATTCTGTGTAAGATGGCTGTGAAAAATAACATCTGTAAAGGTCTTAATACATTACCTGGAAAATAATAAATAATCAATAAATTATAGTGATTATCTTTTTTATGTTACAACCTTGCTCTTCTACAGATGCACCATATATATACATATATATGTATACATATATATGTATATACATACGTATGTATATAGTATATGTATGTATAAGTGTATTTGTATGCATATATATTCATACATATGGACATATGTGTGCATATGTATGTGTATATGATATATATTATATATAAATATATATGTGTAGGGAGAAACCAAGATGGCGGCATAGGTAAACACTGGAAATTGCTGCCTCGCATAACTACTTCAAAAATACAACTAAAAGACAAAATGGACATCATCCAGAAGCACAGGAAGGCTGGCTGAGTGGAAATTCTACAACTAGAAGGAAAGAAAAAAGCACACTGAGACTCAGAGGAGGTGCAGGAGTAAAGTGCAGAGGTACAGAGGTGCACGTGGAAAGGGCTGGCAACTGAGGACACAGTTGTCTTTTTCAATCGGGAGGGAGTCTCAAGCTCCCGGCTGCTCTGAACTCTAGTTCCAGGCGAGTCTCTGGGAACCCAGATTCATACAGGGAGAAACTGGACTGTCTGGAATCGGTTGGAACTCAAGGGCGGCTTTCTCTCAGAGGTGATTGTGGTGATTACCGGAACACTGAGACGCGGGGCCTCTTAGGGTAGGACTGAGGATCAGCCATAGCTGTTTGCTCCACCCTGCTGATTCCCTGAGATCCCGCCCCACCCAAGCTGTCCACAGCAGAGGCTTTTGCATATGAAAGGCCTGGCCCTTTGCAATCCAAAAATTATCTAAAAAACTGCAGCTGGGTCAGAGAGACCCAGAACTTCCAAAAGAAAGCCCAAAGCCCCACAGCAGCTTGCATTGCTTCATAGCTGGGCCTCATCTGTGCAACT